TGTTGGGTCAAATGGTATTTCTATTTCTAGATCCTTGAGGAATTGCCACACTGTCTTCCACAATGGTTGTCTAATTTACACTCCCACCAACAGTGTAAAAGCATTCCTATTTCTCCACACCCTTTCAGCATTTATTGTCTCCTGAGTTTTTAATGATCGCCATTCTAACTGGCGTGAGATGATATCTCAATGTGGTTTTGACTAATGACCAGTGATCATGAGCATTTTTTTCGTATGTTTGTTGGCTGCATAAATGTCTTCTTTTGAAAAGTGTCTGTTCATATCCTTTGCCCACTTTTTGATGGGGTTGTTTTTTTCTTGTAAATTTGTTTAAGTTCTTTGTAGATTCTGGATATTAGTCCTTTGGCAGATGAGTAGATTGCAAAAATTTTCTCCCATTCTGTTGGTTGCCAGTTCACTCTAATGATTGTTTCTTTTGCTGTGCAGAAGCGCTTTAGTTTAATGAGATCCCATTTGTCTATTTTGGCTTTTATTGCCATTGCTTTTGGTGTTTAAGTCATGAAGTAGTTTTGCCTATGTCTATGTCTTAAATGGTATTGCTTAGGTTTTCATCTAGGGTTTTTATGATGTTAGGTCTTATGTTTAAATCTTTAATTCATCTGGAGTTAATTTTTGTATAAGGTGTAAGGGAGGGGTCCAGTTTCAGCTTTCTGCACATGGCTAGCCAGTTTTCCCAATGCCATTTATTAAACAGGGAATCCTTTCCTCATTGCTTGTTTTTGTCAGGTTTGTCAAAGATCAGATGATTATAGATGTGTGACATTACTTCCAAGGACTCTGTTCTGTTCTATTGGTCTATATCTCTGTTTTGGTACCAGCACCATGCTGTTTTGATTATCATAGCCTTGTAGTATAGTTTGAAGTTAGGTAGCATGATGCCTCCAGCTTTGTTCTTTTTGCTTAGTATTGTCTTGGTTGTGCAGGCTCTCTTTGGTTCCATATGAAGTTTAAGGTGTTTTTTCCAGTTCTGTGAAGTAGGTCAATGGTAGTTTCATGGGGATAGCATTGAATCTATAAATTACTTTGGGCAGTATGGCCATTTTCATTATATTGATTCTTCTTATCCATGAGCATGGAAAGTTTTTCCATTTGTTTGTTTCAGCAAAGTCTCAGGACACAAAATCAATGTGCAAAAATTACAAGCATTCCTGCAGACCAATAACAGACAAACAGAGCCAAATCATGAGTGAATTCTTATTCACAATTGCTACAAAGACAATAAAATACCTAGGAATACAACTAACAAGGGATATAAAGGACCTCTTCAAGGAGAACTACAAACCACTGCTCAAGGAAATAAGAGAGGCCAAAGTTCTTAATATTTAGGCAGAGGAAGGGCTCTCTGTTGGGTCTAGACATGAGTTCATCATTGACTAATGCCATGAAATCATAGGCACATTGTTGGTGCTTGGAGCATGTATAAGTTTCTGGAGAAGATCCATGATATTCTTCCTATTTGTAAAAATGTCTATGATACAGAAAATATAAAAAATAAAAATGATACTTGATATAACTGGCAACTTGGTTAGGCATATTATCCTTTATGGAAAAAGTTTAAGGTGAGTGTTCAAGAAACTAAGCCCTCTTTTTTTTTTTTAACTTGTGTGTCACCTCCCAGTTGAGGGAGGAGGAAGAGAGAGTGACAGTGTTTTGTCCAAGCCTATGTGGCTCCTTCAAGATGCTTGCCCACTCCCTCCATTCCTGGCTTACAACTAGATATTTGGTAACGAAAGCTACTCCTTTCTTTTCTCATGTACCTCTTAACAGTTTTTATAATAAGTAACAGAATGGGAAAAAAAATCACAAAGAATAGTTACAACCAAGGATTATTATCCACGATATATGAAGAACTCATAAGAATTGATAAAAGACAACTCCATAGAAAAACAAACATAGATAGTGTACAGACAAATCACAGAGAACAATACAAAGATAAACATAAATGGCCAAGAAATGTTTGTAAAATTATAAATAAATATTAAATAAGGAAAATAGTTAAATAAATTATAGTACATTTATATTACAGAATACCATGAAACCATAAGGAATGAGGTGAATTTTTATTAAGAGAAAAAATCAATAACAATTTAGGTATTGTCCAGCAATTTTTCATTGTTAAACAGCCCTGACACAAAGAGTATAAATATGTTGTTTGTACCAAGTAAAAGCAAACTGATCTTGATTACCTGGATAGATAGAAAATGAAAGGAACGCCCCAGTAACAGCTGACTTTAACAAAAAGTTTCTGAATAAAGCAGTTTCAACATGATAATTTATCTTACATAAAAGTCTTGAGAAGTTAGGTGGTCCAGAGGTAGTCAAGTAGTTTGCTCTACAAGGTCATCCTGGCACCTAGGCTCCTTCTCTACTCTGTTGTTCTGCTCTTTAAAACATACGGCTTTCAGTGAATGATCTAAGGCAGCTGCTCTACCTCCTGCTACCACAGTCACCTTTTTGAAAATGGGAAGGAGATAAAATAAAAAGGGAAGGTATGCACTTTTCCTTTTGAAGACATTAGCTGGATGTTGTACACATCACTTCCGCTCACAGTTATGCTCAAAATCTAGTCACATGACACATCTCATTGAAAGAGAGGCTGGGAAATATGGTCTGTACCTGGCAACCATGTGCTCAGCTAACACTTCTATTTCTGTAGGAGTGGAGAAATGATGCTGAAGGGATGTTGAGTCATCTTTGCCGCAAACAGCCTATCATTTAAACATGGACTGGGTTATTCCCTTAAAATAGAAACAGTATAAAGGATAGTAATGACCAGAAAGCGTATCACACCATTTACAGTTCAGTAATCAAGAGTCATTCGAATTTCCAGCAGGCCATCTCATTTTCTTTAATTTATAAAGAAAATGGCAAGGCTCACCACAAATACAATTACTGCTGTAAGTTCTAGAATGCACCAAGCACACATGACCATAGGGGCTCTAGGCTCCCACTTACCCTTACTCCATGGTGAAGTACTGGCCATAGGTTACAAATTAAACTGGTGGACAGGGAAAACTGCCCCCAACTAATGGTGATTCATATGATTTCGCCCTGTATCCCCACCCAAATCTCATCTCAAATTGTAATCTCCATGTGTTGAGGGAGGGACCTATAATCTCCATGTGTGGAGGGAGGGAGGTGACTGGCTTGACTGGGGGTGGTTTCCTCCATGCTGTGCTTGTGATAGGGATTGAGTTCCCAGGAGACCCAAGGGTTTTATAAGTGTTTGACAGTTTCTTCTTAAAATGCTAGCTCTGTCACCTACCACCATATAAGATGTTTCTGCTTCCCCTTCTGCCATAGTTGTAAATTTCTTGAGGCTTCCCAAGCCATGCAGAACTGTAAGTCCATTACACTTCTTTTCTCTATAAATAACCCAGGTATTATCTTTATAGTGGTGTGAAAATGAATTAATACAGTGACCTTCCCCAGTACTGCATATGGACACAGAGAAGGCAACAGGAAAATAGTATCTATATCAGTTATTTGAACTCTTCTAGATATTTTTTTTTTTTTTCCTTGAGACGGAGTTTCGCTCTTGTTACCCAGGCTGGAGTGCAATGGCGCGATCTCGGCTCACCGCAACCTCCGCCTCCCAGGTTCAGGCAATTCTCCTGCCTCAGCCTCCTGAGTAGCTGGGATTACAGGCACGCGCCACCATGCCCAGCTAATTTTTGTATTTTTAGTAGAGACGGGGTTTCATCATGTTGACCAGGATGGTCTCGATCTCTTGACCTCGTGATCCACCCGCCTCGGCCTCCCAAAGTGCTGGGATTACAGGCTTGAGCCACCGCGCCCGGCCTTCTTCTAGAAATTTTTATATGGGGCACTTGGGGCCACTACCTTTGAGAACTAAATCATCTCTGTCTTCTCATAACTCTTGGCAGGATATGAGTTTTATTAAACCAAGTATGGTGCTCTTCTATGTGGTGAAGAGAATTTTTGGCCTCATAAGCTACCATCTCTCTCATACTAAGCCTCTCTCCTTATTAGATGCCTCAGGTGCCTACACAGCTTTTACTTTAGAATTTAATCATAATCAAAATGTCCAGCAAGGCAAGTACTGATGGATACATGGTGAGAGCACACCAGTCACAAGTGTTTTCAAAATTTTTCCTATGGCCAAATAGGATATCCTTGGTTAGTCTTCATAACCTTAGATTTTCCCCAATGCCTAACCCACGAATTCCAATCAATTAGAGTCCTATCTACTCTACCATATGCCACCCAAGTCCATCTCACATTCATTTTCCTTCAACTTCACGCTTGCCAAACCACCACTATCTTTCCTCTGTACATTGCAATAGCTTCCTAACTGGTCTCCCTGCTTCCCCACTCTTGCCCCTTCTAATGCACTGACTTATTCTCCATATAATGAATGTAAAACTTTCTTAAAATGTAATTCACCTCATATCTCGCCTCTGATGAAAGCCCTTCAAAGGCCTTCTTCTGCACTTAAAAACAAGTCTAAATTTCTGATTAGGCTCAAATGAATGATGAATCTGGAAATCATCAAGACATTTCCATTTAGGCTGTACATGATTAGCACCAGGAAAATATGTAGAATATATAATATTCCAAAAAAAGGCTTTCTTATCCAAGGTTCAAAACTCAGAAACTTAAAAAAATGTAAATACCTTACTTCATGAAAATTTAAAAGGTTCTATATGGTAAAAGACATCATAAATACAGTTTTTATAAAAAGTAACAGAATGGGAAAAAAATCACAAAGCACAGTTATAATAAAGGATTATTATCCACAATACATAAAAAACTTGTAAGAATCAATAAGAAAAAGACAATTCCATAGAAAAACAAACATAGACAGTGTGCAGAAAAATCACAGAGAACAAAACGAAGATAAACATAAATGGCCAACAAACACGTTTTTAAAATTATAAATAACTCAAATACCCAATAAGGAAAATAGTTAAATAAATTATAGTACATATATATGATAGAATGCCATGAAGCCATGATAAGAAATAAGGTAAATTTTTATTAAGTGAAAAAAAGTCAATAATAACATAGGTATGATCACATCTATAAGAATACATTGCTACATGTCTACAGGAAAAAGTCTGAAAGAATGCACACCAAACGATTCTGCTTTTAGGAAAAGCAGTGGGATTGATCAGGGCATGGAATGTAGGCTATGGAATGTGAAGTGAGATTAAAATTTTTATTCTACTTGCTTTTCTAGTTGGGAATTTTTGACAATGCGAATACATGCACTTATTACTTGCATAATTCTGAAAACTATTTCTAAAAGCAACAGAAAATAGATGAAATTCTATTGGTATATAGCATTAATAGTAGTGAAAGTCTAACAGAAAAGATCTGAAAATCTCCCAAAGTCATGTAGAAACAGATCTACCTGATACACTGTGTACCTAGAAATGATTTTGCATCATGTATAGCTTCACAGATACCCCTATCCCACCAACCTCCAATCCTTCCACTATACATTGATTCTTTTCTAGCTGCTTGAACCATTAGCTATAAATTTAACTTAAAAGCAAATTATATTTAATCATTGTACCCTGAGATCTAACATTCAGGGAGTTTCTTCAGGTGCAAATACATCCCATTCTTGGGTTTGAGGATAAAATGGTTGGAGAAAGTAAGAGGCCTGGTGGGGTCTGGAGTCATTCTGAAGTGAAGCAGAATCAAAGCAATGGTCACCTTTAACTCAATCATGGCGAACTGTTGCCCAATGCAGTTCCTGCAGACAAGCAGAAAAGAAAGTGATACTTGAAGAAATGATGTTTCTTCTGACTATAGTAAAATACTAGCACAAGAAGTCTCAAGTATACAGTAAAGCGACATTTTTCCACCAAATGCCATTGAAACTTTTGAACTCTAGACTTAAATTGTCCACTGTGAGAATGTGGGCTGCAAGGCTCCAACATGATGCCTTCCCTATCACAAGATGGCAGCTGGGGTTACTCATGAAATTATTTCTCTTGTTTTGAAGGTGGACTGCATTAAGCCTATGAGCAGTAGCTTACATTGTGGGATTGTTTTTGAGACATGGCCAAATAGGATGTGATAGAGAATAGGACTGTCCTTTGTAAAAGTAACTGATCCTTTAGGGCTTAAATAGGCACCAAGATCTACGGTTCCCTGGAAGAATGTATAGAGCTAAGGAACGAAAGGAGTAAGCTATTCTCAAGTAAACATCTTTGGGTACTTTCAGCAACTTCAAATTGTTCTCACCTTGATCCAGCTGAGAATGGTAAGTAGGCATAGGGGTGTCTCTGATCAGAATTCTCCTTAGAGAACCTCAAAGGGTCAAAGACCTGAAATGAGAGGACAACCCCACCACCATCCCCAAACATCATGAACACATTTCTTCACCTACTACCTAGCACTGATCAATAGAAATATAATGTGAACTATATGTGTAATTAAAAATGTCCTGGTGGCCACCTTTTTAAAAGGTGAAATTTGCTGAGTGCAGTAGCTCACACCTGTAATCCCAGAATTTTGGGAGGCCAAGGCAGGCGGATCACAAGGTCAAGAGATTAAGACTCTCTGGCCAACATGGTGAAACTCCATTTCTACTAAAAAGACAAAAATTAGCTGGGCATGGTGCACACACCTGTAGTCCCAGCTACACAGGAGGCTGAGGCCAGGAGAACTGCTTGAACTCCGGAGATGGAGGTTGCAGTGAGCCGAGATCATGCTACTGCACTCTAGCCTGGCAACAGAGTGAGACTGTCTCAAAAAAAAAAAAAAAAAAAAAAAGTGAAATTAAAACTAAAAGAGTTTTTTTTTTTTTTTTTAAAAAAAACCAAAATTATCATTGCAACCTGTAACCAATATAAATAATTGCTAAAAGGAAAAAAGGAAATGTTTCACTTTTTTTTTTTTTAGGATACTATGTCTTCAAAATCCAGTGCAAATTTTACACTTAGGGCACAACTCAATTCCAACTGGCCACATTTCATTTGCTCAGTAGCCGTATGTGTCCCGTGGCTACTACACTGGGCATTGTACCTTCCGATCTGCCTACCTCGCAGCCTCCAAACTGACCTGTCTGATACCCAGGGAAACTAAAATACTATGGCAAGTGGTATTATTTTCACGATGGAGATACATTCACCTAGAAATAGATGTGCATCCATTTAGAAATCAAGTCAACATGATTATGTGGCCAATTGTTACAGAGACATATATTCCAGCTTCCTATTACATGTAATAGATCTTAAACCTTAGTGGCTTAATTAAAAGAAATCACTAATACATGTCAAGAGTGTTTCAAGAACACAGAAGAGTTGTACGTTTCTTTTGGCTTTTATGTTTATTTTTGCTTTGTGTCATTTACCTTAATTATATAGCCACTTGTGTGCTTAGCTACCAAAAAGTGACTTGCACAGTATTAGTCCTTGGAAGTATTTATGTATAAGAGAGAATCATACCTTTGGGTTTTTCCAGACAGCAGGGTTGTGGTGAAGACCCCAAATACTAAGAACCACAGTGATCCCTAAGAAAGGAGGGAAGTAAAAGAGATTGCAGGAGAAAGAGCAAGTTGTGGGCTACTGTTACACTGCTCTTAAACAAGACTTCCCTTCTTGAAGGAAAGAGCTAGTGCCTGACAATCCTCTGCCTGCTGTAGCTGATGACATCAGTGAGGAACTCATACGAAGACACAGCTTGGGCTGGCACCTAAGCTTTCCACACAACAATTTACTTAATTCATGATTCTGTCTTAAGTAGCTGTTGGTGTCATATTAAAGTGATAAACCATGTTTATGTTTTCTGCTATGTTTGGAAATTACTTAAATATTTGTTTTTTGTTTTTGTTTAGAGTCAGGGTCTGGCTCTGTCACTCAGGCTGGAGAGCAGTGGTGCGAGCATAGCTCACAGTAACCTTGAACTTCTGAACTCAAGTGATCCTCCTGCCTCAGTCCCCCAAATAGGCAGGAATACATGCTTGCAACACCATGCCTGGCTATATACTTTTTTTTTTTTTTTTTTTTTTTGTAAAGACAGGGTCTCACTATGTTTCCCAAGCTAGTTAGTCTTAGACTCCTAACTTCAAGCAATCCCCACACCTTGTCCTCACAAAATATTGGAATAGGTGTCAGTCACTGTGCCTGGCCTAAATACCTGTTAATGGACTGTTAAGCACCTCCTGGAGACAGTTTGGGTATAAACAGAATGGGCCAGGCACAGTGGCTCACACCTGTAATCCAGCACTTTGGGAGGCCAAGGTGGGCTGGTCTCGAGGTCAGGAGCTTGAGTCCAGCCTGGCCAACATGGTGAAACACCATCTATACTAAAAATACAAAAATTAGCAGAGCATGGTGGCATATGCCTGTTATTTCAGCTAGTCAAGAGGCTGAGGCAGGAGAATTGCTTGAACCTGGGAGGTGGACGTTGCAGTGAGCCGAGATCAGGCATTGCACCCCAGCCTGGGCGACAGAGCAAGACTCTGCCTCAAAAAAAAAAAAAAGCACACAACTGTTATTCCATTGTGCAGATATGAAGATCCAGTGACACATTTCCATTGGTGCTGTTCATATATGGAAAGTATAGAATTCTGGCAAATATCCATGTTGTTTGGTGATAAAAATTGTAGAAAATAAAGGAAGAGAATTTGAGGATTATTTGGTTTCCAGAAATAATTCTAGTAAATTAGTTCTGGGTCTGTCAGCAAAGTTACAGTAACAGGCTGTAGATGTTTGCTACAAGCAATCCTGTTGGCTTGTTTCCTAAGACATGAATTAATAGAACATTGAATCAGATAAGTGAAAATATGTCTCACATGACCCCTCTGCTTCCTATAAGTCCTGCTCAGAAACCTGTGTTGTTCTGAAGAGCTCTAGGCTCTAGACTCAGGGCCTCTGCACGAGTTCTAGCTCTGCTCACATCAGTTAACCTCATCTACACATTGGGGTTCCCTCTGGATTTCTAGTCACATCTAAAGTATTTAAAAGTGTTTAGAAAACTGTAAATAACTGTATAAGTGTACGTTGACATCACATTCCAAAGGGAAAAATGAGATAATGGTTTTGAAGACTCTACATAAGCTATTAAATGTTGCACATTTATAAGGGTGATATTAAGATGATGAGGCCAAAGATCCCCGTTGGTCTTTCAGACGAAGATAGTGGTGCTCATTTTCCATGAAGTTTCAGCTGAGTCTCAAAGTGAGCCAAACAAAGATTATCTTAGAAATGTCTTCCCACAATGGAAGAGATCCTGGGCTGGGGTTCCAGAGACATGGATTCTGGGCTTACCTTTGGTGCAAGTGGTTATTCACTGAAATTCACATCTGATCAAAGCATTATCCTCTGAGCTCCTCATAGGTGATTAAACCTAAACCACATGTTACCATTATCTTTTAACTTCACCAAGTGCTAAGAGACTCACTAGTCATTGTCACTGTGGTCCCCAAGATCCCACAGCCTCTAGGAAATGCTTAGAAAAAGAATAGACCTGCAGGTAATGTGCATCCATCTGGGAAGGTAAGTGGCTTGCTGAGATCTCTGGAAATGGATGGGACTGCAGGAATCAATCGGAATGTCTCCTTGATGCACATTGTGGTGTATGACATTTCACCCAGCTGGTCCCTGTGAGGATGAGTGAGGAAAGGGATTCAGATATCATAACCAGTTTATTTTTTTCTGTTTTATGTTTATTCCTGGTAATTATAACCCTGAGGTTAAATCCATTTTGCAACTGGTGTATGTAACAGAATGTTAAAATGGGACTCTCTGCCTCAGGATGAGCTGAGGTCCCAGAGTCAGAGGAACCAAAAAGATATATCATATATCCTTATTATAAACTGAGCTGCTAAACTACCAGTAAAACATTTGCTATGGAGAGTTCTGAAACCCAGTTTTGCAGTTTTGCAACTCTTTGCTCATCATATGAAGTAAGAATGCATAAAAATGGCTAAGGATTAAAGAGAAGAAGCTTAAGAATTTTGAGAGAAAAATTATTTAAAGTATTGTGGGAATGCCAGAGTACCATGGAGAAGGAAGGGTGCTTCTCCCAGCTTAAACAACAAGAGGTTTCATGAGGATCACTTAGATGATCTGACTTGTGCTCCTTGGAGTTTGGGGAATACAGTACTGATGTGAAAGGCTGTAACTCAGAAGAGACAGAGAGGCAGAGGAGAGCAGCAGAGGCAAGGCAAGGATGTGCAACTATGTCCTTGAACCAATGAACTGGCAAGAGGGAGAGCTCTGGAACCAGCTTGAAAAAGACTGCCTAAGGACAAAAATTCTCTTGTCCCTTGAATTGCCACTGGAAAGTCCCAGTGAGAGAGTCTCCAAGAAACGGAGTGTCCCCTTGAGAGAAAGGGAAGCATGGTATATCCACCAAGCCCTTTGGCATGATCACAATACAGCCAGCCCTTTACTTTTTATCCCGTTTCCTCCTAAAACCATTCCTGGAAAAGTCAGAAACAGCAGCTAACTGGGTATTGGAGATCAGTAAGAATAAGTTAAGCATAAACCCCTTGCCCACTTCTGGCTTCTAGACCCAAAGAAGTACCAAGCTGGAATGGAAAGAAAAGCTCCTAGTGGATATGTATTTGAAAGTTTCATTACTACACTGGGCCAGATAGTTTAATGACTGACATAAGACTGTTCTTATGATTTAAATGAATGAGAACTCTATCAGACTCACTCAGGATTTTGCCCCAGAGATAAAAAGAACTTGCTCCACAAAGCAAGTTTAAAGTTTATAAGTGGAAGAAGAATAGAGTCTTTTTTTTTATTTGCATCCTAGCTAGTCAGATTGGTTCAATAAAATGACTGTCTATATTTAGTCTGTCTTCGTGTTTTTATATGTTTTTCTGATTACTTATTTTGAATGCAGGCTTTGGCCATTAGGTAATGTGAAATTTTAATTTTCATTTCTTTCTTCCTCAAGCTCAGGATAAAAAAAGAGTAATTCTGCTTATGCTGGCACTTTGCATAATTAAAAAAAAATTTTGTTCGTTTCAATCATGGAACAAAAAGAAGAGAGAAATTTTAAGCTAACACAGAAATGAGCTGATAAGGAGCCAAAAGGGGAAGTTGAACAACTGGGAGAGATATGAACATTCTGGTTTATGAAGATCAAAGGACTCTAAGTTAAGACCAAACCAAATGAAAATAAATGGAGGCACATTATATCAGATTGTCAAAAGTAAATGAAAGACAAAGAATCTAGAAAGCAGTAAGGGAAGGGACTCACCACATACAAGAGATGACAATAAGGTTATGAGAAGAATTATCAGAATAAATCTTGCAAGCTAGGAGGGAGTAGAATGAGGCATTCAGAAAGCTGAAGAAAAAGAAAAAACCTGCTAACCAAGAATACCATATCTGGCAAAGTTATCTTTCAAAACGAAGAAGAGATAAAAACATCTCCAGATAAACAAAAGTTGAGGGTGTTCATTACTACTAGACTCACCTTATAAAAAATGCTGATGTGAATTCTCCAACTTGAAATAAAAGAATACTAATTAACAACATGAAAATTGAAAATAAAAATCTCACTGGTAAAGGTAAATACATAGTGAATTTAGGATACCCTAATAATGTAGAGGTGGTATGTTAATTACTTCTATCTCTAGTATAGAGAATCAATATTGTGAAAATGGCCATACTGCCGAAAGTAATTTATAGATTCAGTGCTATCTCCATCAAGCTACCATTGACTTTCTTCACAGAATTAGAGAAAACTACTTTAAATTTCATATGGAACCAAAAAAGAGCCTGTATAACTAAGATAATTCTAAGCAAAAAGAACAAAGCTGAAGGTATCAAGCTACCTGACTTCAAACTATACTACAAGGCTACAGTAACCAAAATAGCATGGTACTGGTATCAAAACATATAGACCAATAGAAGAGAACAGAGGCCTCAGACATAATGCCACACATCTACAACCATCTGATCTTTGATTAACCTGACAAAAACAAGCAATGCAGAAAGGATTTCCTAGTCAATAAATGGTGCTGGGAAAACTGGCTAGCCATATGCAGAAAACTGAGACTGGATCACTTCCTTAAACCTCACACAAAAATTAATTCAAGATGGATTAAACATAAGACCTAAAATCATAAAAACCCTAGAAGAAAACCTAGGCAATACCATTCAGGATATAGGCATGGGCAAAGACTTCATAACTAAAACACCAAAAGCAATGGCAACACAAGCCAAAATTGACAAATGGGACCTAATCAAACAAAAAAGCTTCTGCACAGCAAAAAATAGGAACACTTTTATGTTGTTGGTGGTAGTGTAAATTAGTTCAAACACTGTGGAAGACAGTGTGGTGATTTCTCAAAATCTAAAACCATTTGACCCAGCAGTCCCATTACTGGGTATATAGCCAAAGGATTATAAATCATTCTAGTATAAAGACACATGCACACATATGTTTACTGCAGCACGGTTCACAATAGCAAAGACTTGGAACCAACCCAAATGCTCATCAATGATAGATTGTATAAAGAAAATGTGGCATATATACACCATGGAATACTATGCTGCCATAAAACAGGACGAGTTCATGTCCTTTGTAGGGACGTGGATGAAGCTGGAAACCATCATTCTGAGCAAACTAACACAAGAACGGATAATCAAACACCACATATTCTCACTCATAAGTGGGAGTTGAACAGTGAGAACACATGGACACAGGGAGGGGAACATCACACACTGGGGTCTGTTGGGGGGTGAGGGGCTAGGGAGGGATAGCATTAGGAGAAATAGGTAATGTAGATGACAGATTGATGGGTGCAGCAAACCACCATGGCATGTGTATACCTATGTGACAAACCCACATGTTCTGCACATGTATCTCAGAACTTAAATTAAAAATTTTAAAAAGTGATATATATATAAATAATGGAATACTAATTCACCCTTGAAAAGATGGATATCTTGTCATTTATGACAACAGAGATGAATTTGGAGGACATTATGCTAAGTGAAAAAAGCCAGGCACAGAAAGATAATTCCACATAATCTCACATGTGGAATCTAAAGCATCAAACTCATAGAAGCAGAGAGTAGAATAGCAGTTACCAGGGGCTGTGGGAGAATGGGGGATTACAGGGAATTAGTCAAAATACACAAAATTTCAGTCAGACAGCAGGAATAAGTTTAGGAGATGCATTGGACAATATGTGACTGGAATTAACAACAATTTGTATACTTGAAAATAGCTAAGAGGGTAGATTTTAAATGTCCTCACCACAAAAAAATGATAAGTATGAGTTAATAGACATGTCCATTGATAGAGTTAGTCATTCTACAATGTACACATATATCAAAATATCATATTGTACGCCATGTATACACACATACATAATACATATATGCAAAATTTTTGTCACTTAAAAAATTAAAAATGATTGTTCAACGTTGTATTTTGTGCTATATAGTTTAAACCTTTAGTTTATGCTAGGAAAGAGCTTCTATTTCCTTATAAAATGAGATCTCTACTATACCTTTATAATGAAAAATTTGGTTTTACCAATGTTCCAATTGAGCTGACTTTTGCACATGAAATATGGGGTTTTTTATCTACTCATGCAGCTGAGTTGTTCATAGCATTTATATTTTTCTGTCCCTTTGACCAGATTATGTCAGGGACATATTTTATCTTTGCAAACAGCATAACCTGGGCTTTATTAACAGCAAGATATGCTTAAAGTCTAGCAAAATAGAGATGACGTTTTCCACCTGGCTAACTCTTACTCGTCCTGTAATAGTCGGGTTAAGTGTCATATACCCAAGGAAGTCTCCTTGAGCTCCCATGCCAGGGTAGGGGCCTGTCTTTGTGTTAGCCAGCACATATCTCTATCATTGACTTATCATGCTGCACTGCAATATGGAGGTCTATCTCCTGTCTCCTATATTAGACCATCGAGGACAGGGCCCACAATAAATCGTAGTCATTAAGAAAATGTCTCAGTATTTAAAATGTCCTCAGTACATATTTGCTAAACTCAGCTATAGTATATATCATCTAATATTATGTTTGAAGTCTAAAATCAATCCTGAGGAATAAAATTAGTGACAAGAGGATGGGAGAAGATGTCTACAATGAACCTTAAATAATGCAGCTAATCATTCAGCCCTCTCAGAAGAGGAACTCCACTTGAACCTTACTGCTTAAGTTCTAAGTGCCAGCATAGGGATCAAGTCCTCACTTCCAATGCATCAAAGCCAAGGTGAAATAAAGAAATAAGATTTTTCACACACCATTGACTAGAAAATCAATGACAATTTATGGATAAATAAACTTTTTTTTCAAAAGTCAAGAGAATACTTTTGAGCTCTTTTCAGAAAGAACGGAAAAGTAGCCTACTTCTTCTGTTTCCACCTACACATATCCTTAGGCACTAGGGTCACTAAGGTACCAGGGCAAAAAATAAAGCAAAATCTCAGGGGGAAAACTAAGATGAAAAATTTAGGGGTACAGCTCTTACCAGGTAATAGAAGACCCATCCCCCAGGATGCCCCTGACCTCCTCCCGGCATCTCTCTTGATGCTCAGGGTTCTGAGCCAGACAGTAAAGGACCCAGGAGATGCTTGCTGCCACAGGGTCATGTCCTGCCAACAAGAACGTGCTGACTTCAGAGTGTACATCAGCATCTGAGAAGCTGCCACCATTTTCATCCTAGTAAATACAATACAGATATTTTTAAATAAAGTATCAGTCTATAAATGTTTGGAGATATGAACACAATAATGATTTTAGGGGAAAAATCAGAGTTTCAAATAGGGGTTTAAATTTTAATTCAGTTCTACAAATATGTGGTATAAGCCATATTCTGCCCAAAGTATAAAGGAGAACCAAGGTTAGATAAGAAAAGCAGGCCTTGCAAAGAGGGCCTTCAATCAGCAGACCCTAGAAATTCTCTTCAAACTCCCAGATTTCCCAGGACCTTATCATCACAATTTTATATGTTTATCCATGTGACAATTTTTTCATGATCCCCTGAAATCTATGTAACCATATGACCGTCCCCAAATCTTGTCAAATCCTTCATTTAGTCTTTACTGCCCCTCCTCTAGCGACAGAGATGCAGAATTTTTTGTCTCAAATTGCATGAAGCCACTCATCAATTCAAAGTATGGTTAAATTTAATCAATCGGTTTTATTTTTGTCTCCCCATCCCATTCCCGCTTACCCACCTACTCACATAATTAACTGGCCACTTGAGCAGGCTTAGAAATTTAGATGATTTACCTTGGCAGAAAGGACAATATCCAGAAAATCCTGGTACTTCCTCTTCTGAGTGTTATCCTGCTTTCCCCCAGTCTGGAGGGATTTCTTTCTATCCTGGATTATCATATCTGGGTAGAAAAATAATTTCTAATTACCAAAGTGATAGCAAAGTCAAATAAATTATAAAGCAACCCATGGTTAATGTATAGATTCAAATCTTGCCTGATTTCCAGATATTTAAATAGGTCTTATTTTCACAGATGGTTTATTTTCCCCATCAAAGGGACTTTTGATCAAAGCTCCAAAGATGAATAACACAGACCAAAACCACAGTTTCTATCAGTATGTGGGCAATAAAATTAAGATGATTTCAAGTTTAGATGCAAGTGACCCATCATTATTTACTTCCTCAGTCTAATATTTTATTTTCATGAAAAAGTTATTAAATAAAATGAAACGAAATAGAAGACAGGCAAAGAAATGCCAATATATTTATAACTGAAGGAATTGAAAGAAAAAAACAAAACTTTGGAACAGAGGCAATATTTATTTACTATTTTTAAAATTTCAACTTTTATTTTAGATACAAGGGTACATGTACAGGTTTGTTACATGGGTAACAGGAGAACTCTCTGTACTTTCTCTCCAATTTTTCTGCAAACCTAAAACTTTTCTAAAAATAAAGTCTATTAAAGTTGAAAAAACCCCACAAAATCTCCTTAATTAAAACAGTGTGATTTTAGTACATTGGTAGATAGACCAATGGAATGCGAAAGAATATCCAAATATACTCTCATCCGAAATAGATATGAGTACATATGTCCATTTGGAATGTGATAAAGATGATTATTTTAAATCACTTGAAAAGATAAACTTTTAAATAATGATGATGGGACAACTGGATAACTATTTGGAAAAATTAGATCAATACCTTACACCATAAATAGGAATAAACTCTAAATCGAGTTTAGATCTCTGTTCTAAATGCAAAAAGGATGAAATCATATGTACCACAAGAAAACATAAATAATTTTCTCTACAACCTGGGTATAGGGCAGGGGTTCTCAACTGCGGGCAACTTTGGCCCTTGGGACATTCAGTAATATCTGGAGTTATTTTTGGTTGCCACAGCTATCAGAGCTCTACTACACTGAGTGGGTAGATGTCAGGGATGTAGCTAAACATCCTACAATGCACAGGTCTTGACAAGGACTTATCTAATCCAAGAGGCCATTAGTGCCAAGGGTTGAGAAAACCTGGAATAGAGAATGGCTTTTTGTGATTACTAAAAATCCAGATGCAATAAAATAAAATATTGATAAATTTGACTACATAAAAATAAATAATTTTCAAAAGTTAGCCAGGTGTGGTGGCGGGTGCTGTAATCCCAGCTACTCAGAAGACTGAGATAGGAGAAATGCTTGAACCCAGGAGGTGGAGGTTGCAGTGAGCTGAGATTGCACCACTGCACTCCAGCCTGGGCAACAAAAAGAAATGCCATCTCAAAAAAAAAAAAAAAAAAAAAAAAAAAGGAAAAGGTTTTACTTCAAAGTTTTGAATAAGTATACTTAGTACACACTATATACTATTTAGTATATACTATATACTTAGTATATACTAAATAGCATATACTGTATACTTAGTATATAGTAAATAGTATATACTATATGCTATAGTATATAAAAATTCTGGTAAGACTTACTGCTATGGTTGAAGCAAAGTCTTCTAAAGGACTCAGTCAAATTTCTTTGGAGAAGTGTCTTATAGACACTAAAGGTCCATTAATAACAAATATTCTTTCTCTTGTCATATTAAGGTTTATCCCTCTAGACAGACACAGTACAATCATGACAGTGAATGGATGTGGGCAACCCAAACCTAACAAATACCTGTGTACTGATACAGCACTTGGTTTAACTTCTGGAAGCGGTGGCCCTGAGGGCTGAGTTTGAAAATTATGTCACTGTGATGCAAGAAACTGTACAAGCGGTGAAATACGATTCTGCTGACTTCAAATATGGCTTTTTCATAAGGATCACGGGTGCTAGAAGAGAAAGTTGAGATAACGTGTTAATAAACAACTTAGAAAATGGGAGGAAATATGTTTTTTGCTCTCCCACCACTGACCTGTTTGTCTGGCAGTTGGTCTCTTTGCTGAAAGCGCATTTCATGATTATATCCAGAGACATCAAGTTGATGTGCTTATAAACCTCCATGGTTGTGTCCTGAGTGCTGCAAATCTTCTCCCACTTATCCTGGCATAGGAGGTCAAGATCAACATCATCACCACCACCATGACCAAGCTTCCTTCATTTGAAGGCTCCTGCCTAGCTTTGCCTTTATGATCCAAGGGAGACAACCCTGACCCAGCAGGAACCAAAAGTCACATGAGTGAATAAGCCATGTACTTACACGGGGCATGAGGAAGGGAAAAATACGCCCAGCAGAGTGAGAAGGAGCATGGAGAAAACTGCATATATGGTAAATGGCTGAGTTAAGCATTTATGACTTTTCAATTATTACCGTAACTCTGCTTTCATACAGACCAGAGTTCCATTAAAACAGACAATCATTGGTACAAGACCCATAATTACAAGGGGTTTACCCCAGTGCTTCCTCCATCTTCAATTTCAAACTTGCTAGATGCCCTGCCACTGCTCTCAACCACCATAACCACCTTTAAAATAAACTTGGAACATTTTCAAAAACATTTTGGGTTCAAAAGTGGTAAACGGAGAGCAAGTATGGAGAGGAGCTGCTACAGGGGGCTGGCTCCCCGTGAAGCCCGACCTGGCTTAACTTCCACACAAAGAGACCTACTCATACTGCTTGAAATGCATTGCCTGACATTTTAAAATGGTGACAAAGTCCCTGGTTGAATATTTGCCATAATAATCATACTTTGTGTAAAAACTAAAATAAATTGAAATTGTAAAAGTTCAGGTTGACCAAGAGATCTTAAGCACCTAGCACCTAGCTTAAGATCTATGAGTCAACCTGAACTTTTAAAATTTCAGGGACTTAGCAACCAACCACAAAGGCAAAGAGAATTTTAAAAACTTTTCACCAAGTGCCAATTGTTTAGTCAAAGAGCCTTTATCTCGGCTATGTAAGTTTTACTGAGAACAAATGGTGAATTTAGAAGAAATGAGAGCAAGCGGGAGGCTTCCATGCTTGAGAAACTCTGGAATGATTCAGCAGAGGAAGAAAGTTGTGAGAAAAATCCCAGAGAAATATGTGGCTGAGAAATGAGTGGAGAAGAAAGTGTCCCAAGAAATGGAGAGAAAGCTCCAATGCAATCACAGGAGGATTTGAAATTGTGCTGCAGCTGAACAGCACTAGAATCAGAAAAGGTTGCTCTCCTCTCTCGCTAGCTTGCGCCACACAGTCTCTGGGTCTCTGCCTTGAGAACTCACACTGTTGTTTTTACCACAATCCTGGCCGACTTTGGGTTCAAACTGCTTCTGTGAGTTTGGCTGAGAACCCAGTCATTGAGATGGTAATAGTGGTTTGCATGGGAATAGGGATGGGTTTGCACATGAAGTGGGAGGAAAACTTTGCCTTTGTTTGTGGTGTTTGAAGTGTTTATGATGAAACTGTATTAGTGAATTACTTGTCTGATTTCAAAAAAAATAGATTTAAAAATTAAAACCACTGTAAATTTAGAGTTTTGGAATAGAACTTATTTATAAATCAGAGACCACTCACAGGAATGTTTCTCTACAATGTCCTTAAGGCTCCTTGAAAGGTGCAGGTCAGGGCCTAATGATCCTCTACCATTTACAAGAAGAAATTCATATCTGCAACTTTAATACAGACATTCTCTTTTGCTTGGTCCTTTATAGCCATTGGGCAAGTCCATGATAATCTCCAAACCTTTTTCATGCTGACTCACTCTGCCTTGAATACTCTCATCCATACTGTCTACATATTCAAGTCCAGCTTGATTTGAGTTTCCGCTGAATCTGAAGCTGTTATAGCTCCTCCTGCCATCTTTACCTGTCACCTTGTGGAGGTTAATGCAGCTCCATCTTGGAGGCTCATCTGCCATCTTGACTTCCAATTAACTCTAGTTCTGGGAATGCTCTGAGATTTCCAGTTGATCTACTGTTCGTTGCATCGGAGCATGTACTTACCATAAATCTTGCCCTTAGGGCAAATTCTTACTATTAATAATTTCCTCTGAAACACGTGTGCCCCTCCCCATGGTCTACAATTCCTGGATCTGGAGGGTAATAGTTCAGGGATCCATCATCTTGTCTCATCACTGTGTGAAACGGCCATGGTTTTTCTTTGAAAACCTCTATTAAATGTTTCTTTATAAGAAACTGTCAGCCTTTTTCTTCAGCCTCTCAGCTTCCTCAGACTTTGGGGTAGGTTTGTACAGACCTGTGCTCCATGAAACAAACCTATAGCACTTGCTATCTAACTGTCACCATTTGGTACTTGATTTACTGCCATAAAATCTCAAAACATATCTACGACAGAGGACCAGATCTTCTTTTTATTAATATTATCACCCAAATAACATAACAAGTTTTTTTTTTTTTTTTTTTTTTTTTGAGATGGAGTTTCACTCTTGTTGCCCAGGCTGGAGTGCAATGGCACAGTCTCGGCTCACCACAACCTCCGCCTCCTGGGTTCAGGCAATTCTCCTGCCTCAGCCTCCTGAGCAGCTGGGATTACAGGCACGCGCCACCATGCCCAGCTATTTTTTTTTTTTTTTTTTTTTTAGTAGAGACGGGGTTTCACCATGTTGACCAGGATGGTCTCGATCTCTTGACCTCGTGATCCACCAACCTTGGCCTCCCAAAGTGCTGGGATTACAGGCGTGAGCCACTGTGCCCGGCAACAAGTTTTTACAGACACCTATTGCTCAATGAGTGCTTGTACATTGGTTAAATTTTTAGAAACTGATTTTTTATTTTCATGGTCCATGAAACATATACCTAATACTGTCCATTGCCAGGAGCATTTTGCAAGGTACCAGAGCTCTTTCCCCCTTCACTTACCAGCATCGTTTTCACAGAATGAGCCATCACCTCGATGTATGCTTTCAGGATGTTAAAATGGAACGCAGGAGTTAGCAGGCGACGATGCTGGAACCACTTGGGTCCATCTAGAGACACTAGTCCTTTTCCTTGAGAAGTAAAAGGCAGAAAACCTTATGCTATTTCATTAGATGAGATGAAGAAGAGATGAGGAACACAGGCAGCATGGTGTAACCATGCCCCACAGGCAGTCATGAAATAGTGGAGTATCAAAGTAGTGCTCATGTTAAAATAAAATGCATTTTAATAGATGAAGGTGAATTTAGAAGCTTACTTCTGGGATGGATGTATTTAATATTGTGAGAAAGAGTTTCAAAGTCTAATAAGTTTCAAAGTCTGATAAGATGAGAAGGTTAATCCTGAAATCACCAGTTACTACCTATGTAGTAATTGAATAAGTCACTTAACCTTCCTGAGGTTTAGTTTTCTCAACAATGAACTACGATACTAAATACCTATTTCCCTGTGTTGCTGTGCAGATTAACTGAAAGTGAATACATGAGGTAGCCAACCTACTCCCTAGCTTACACTAGAAACACAGCAAATAAATTCCTTTCCTTTCCACTCCAAACCAATCCATAAACTATATGATGAGCATAAATTCACAAGGAACTTCTGACAAGAACATCCACTCTGTCCCCTGGTACTCCTCCCTTGAGCCCTGGTCTGTGAATGATACTGCGTGGAAATACTTATCAAGGCTAATGCTTCACAATCTTCTATTGCCAGACTGATCATTAGGATTTGGCTTTAAAGCACTTTAAAGTTTATTAGTACATAATCGATACCACTCACTGAGTGCTTACAACATGCCAGACCCCTGATGCATGATCTGTCACTTGCACAATGTTGGCTGTTACATTTACTGCTAAAAATATGTATTTCATTTAATTCTCATAACAGCCCAGCAATGTGACTCTCATCCTTATTGTCAAAGATGAGGAAACAGACATGGAGAGAGTAAATTACTTCCCCAAGATGCTATTTAACTGGTCCGTGCAGGAAGGGGCAGGATTCAAATCTAACTGGTTCCTAATACAAGCCTATATTCTTTTCTCTAATTCATGTTTTGTCTAACATAAATACCAATTATGTGATTAAAGGGCTTAATTTATCTGCTGACAGAATATTGCCAATCTCTAGAGCAAAATTTTACTGATTCGAATGCGGAAATAAGGGAACTCCAAAAAGAAAGGAAAACATCCAAGAAAACACAAGAGAAGGATAAAGAAAACAAGAATAGGGATGGAGAGACTGCAGTGTGTGTGTGTGTGTGTGTGTGTGTGTGTTGGGGGTGGACAGAGTTTTGCTTTGTCACCTAATCTGGAGTGCAGTAGTGCTATTTACGCTTACTGCAACCTCCGCCTCCTGGGTTCAAGTGATTCTCGTGCCTCAGACTCCCAAGCAGTGGGACTACAGGCACATGCCACTATGCCTGGCTAATGTTTGTATTTTTACTACAGACAGGGTTTTACCATGTTGGCCTCACTGGTCTCAAACTCCTGACCTCAAGTTATCCTCCTGCCTCAGCCTCCCAAAGTGCTGGGTAACAGGTATGAGCCACTGTGCCAGGCCAAGATTGCAGTTTTAAAGAGAGAGGGGACAGATTCACATATCTGCTGCCTTGAGAATACGACTCTGGGGGAGAGAAATGGATGAAGAAGCTTCCTGGGAAGTGGTGTTGTGTTGACTTTAGAGCTCCCCTTGAATCTTTCCCCTAGATAACTTTCAGTGTTGCTCTACCTTATACTCTTAATGCTTTTGAATTCAGATTTGAGTTCCTTGGGCATGCTGTATTATGGAAAGGGGACTTTGAATGAGAGTGGGTTATAACTCTCATTTGCACATACATACCAATAAGCGGAGATAAGAATTTCTGTACGTACTGGGACTTGGGGTCTGCAGAGTCAAACAGAGAAAACAAAAGACATCATTAGAGGGAGCATTCATTATCAGCTCATGTTGGTGACAGTTTTTTGCATTTTCCTGCACCAACCACAAATACTGAGCAAAAGAGAGCCCAGGGCTTATTTCTGCTGCCTTTGGCAGCCTGGGGAAAGACTTGTGTTAGTCTTAGTTCAGTTTCAGAGAACAGCAAGCCCTATGAGGCAAACAAGCACAGAAACCCCGACTCTTCTCTTGTTTATACTTCCTTCAACAGAAACAGAGTTTGCCGGAGGGATGCAATGTTTCCATAACCATAGCTGAGACAACATATATCCTTTATGGAAAGCAAATTAAGGATCAGAGCAGATGCCGGCACACACCAGGTACTGAGGTGCCAATGCCTCTTGTTTTTTGTGAACCCCAAAGTGGAGGTGTTCTACTGTTCTTGTCCTTAACAGGTGAACATGAGACGAATCAGAGCAGGGGACTGGAAACATGGAGATAGTCAGGGCAAGACTCTTTTATTAGGTTTTATTGGGAGTGGTGGATACAATGGCACAGGAAAGACTAGAATATAAAAACCTTCATTTTACAAAGTTGACAGGGAAAAAACTGGACATTTTAATATTATGGTATAAAATAGTCCACAATGAAAGCCTTAAACAAGCATTGGGTGGGGGAAGTAAATGACTCATACCTGAAAAAGGGACACAGTTGAGAAACATGTGAGGAAAACTAAAGTTTGGATCACAATTGAGAGATTTGATGGGTAAATTAATGATCTAGCATTCAGGCTTACATACTGAACCAGCAGAAGTGGATTTACTGCTGATTCTCCACCCTCTTAAGACTGATCCTCGAGACCAGAGGTAGGAGTGGGAACTGTTGCTGACACTGAAGTCATAAAGCCTAGAGAGGCCAAGGGAACCCTTGTCTGGCAAGCCTGGTAATTCCAGATGGGCTTTAGGTTACGCTAACCTCAACGTGCCCATGCAGTCCTGAACAAGACAAGGGACTGGGCGGGGGGGGGGAGGCGGGAAGGGGACACGGGAATCACCTTCAGTATTGGTAGGAAACCTGTCACCTCTCCACACCTGCTCCTGTGTCTCTTAAAGACCCAAAACTAAACTTTGCTTTGGAATATTGCCTGTGGGGTTTTGTGCATTTCACTTCTAGGAGGAATAGGTCCCAGAGATTTGCCCCTCTTCTTACCTGTTCTGTTCAGAAATGTCTTTGCATAGTCTGGGTCACAGATATAGAAAAATGCCTGAAAAGGCCCAATCCACAAAGGGAAGGCATGAGGGTATTTTTCAATAATTTCCTCAAGCTTCTCCATGTTATCATCCTGAATAAACTGCAGTGAAAAAAGTAAAAGTAATTAGAGAGCCAGCCAGGCTGGACCTGTCCCCTCTTACAGACATAAGCTGAGATCAGGGCCTGAGAAGGTCACAAAAGCAGAGGAGCCTGAGACTTTTCTGGAAGTGAATTAATGTACTTTATTTGGGACTTCTAAGCTTGGGGGATAATTCTCTAAACAAAGTTAGTGTATTTATCTTCTCAATACTAATGTAGGCTGTACCCCCAGACCAAATCACTGTTGAATGACATTTACTGTGAACTCCCATCCCAACAGAGAGTAAGCCGAGTCACACTCTCTGCCCCATTTGCCAACATCACATACGCAGATTGCAGTGGGATCTAGAAGCTAAAAAAGATGTACTTCCTAAGTGGGAAACTAACAGTTACTAAATGCGCCATGGCCCTACATCCAGCTCACCATTTCTTCTCCCTGTTCCTCTCTCTAATAATGCATCAGTGATTCTTTCTCATGACTTAGTAGTAAATGCTTCTCTCTAAAAAATTGCCAACTCTATCTACAAAGAAAATCCAAATTCTCCCCCCACCAACAGAAGGCCCATTTATAAGCTTCAAGATGTGTGAAGCTTAAAGCCAACTCAAATACAAAACTTTTAGCTTTCAACATTTACAAATGAGAGTGCAAATACTACCATCAGAGAAGGACTTTTGCTTTTAGAAACAGATTAGTAATGACTCACCTGAATCGTTTCTCTAAATCACAGAAAACAAGATTCATTTACATTTGCTTCTTGTGTAAAGTGGAGGGTACCTGCATGTGTGTGTTTTGCTGTGCACATCTATACACTTGAGCATGGTGGTGGGAGTCCCCAGCTACAAAGTAATCTTAAGGCTGCCAGATTTTTCTCCTGTGAGTAATCACATGGTATCTGCTGCATGACTGTTTGTTCTCATCCTCAGGAGAGGTAGACAACTCTGGCTCCCTTTTTTCTCTGTTATCATTTAGCAATTTTAACCCATGAAGTGTTCTCTGGATAGTTAAGGCCACTGAAAGGTCGAGACTCTTGAAATCTAGTTTCTAAAATATTGCACTCTGTTTTGCTAATGTTGCCATAGCCAAGCCAGTGACAAGTGCCCACTGACTATCCAGAGTAGTGGTTTTCAACAATGTGAATATTTTTCATTTATTCGTTCACAAACTACAAACAAACAAGTATTTATTGAGTGTCTATCACACGTACCAGGTGGTAGAGATACAGAGAAAGACAGGAAAGATAAGGCCTCTGCCCTCCTGGAAATTATAAACTAATATGACAATTGTTTAGGTAAAAAATTTTCATAGACACTCCAGCCACATAAAGAATTTCATTATACTTTTTGTAACTCCTGACTAGACAAAAAGGACAGAAAACTGTTGTGAATCCTGTACTACATTTAAGCTATACTTCTTCATCCCCAGAGAAGCATCTAAATATACTTGAAAATGAGTACTACATATATTTAGTAAACATTGTTCAGAAATGTTCAGAAAATGCATAGTGCCCCCCAAATAGTAACAGCTAACATTTATCAGGCACTGCTATGAACTAAGTGCTGCAAAATGCTTTCATGTTTTATGTGATTTAATATTTACTTCAAGAGCCCTATGAAGGAGATATAATTACAATCCCTATTTTACTGATGAGGAAATTGAATGCTACAGACTACGTTAAATGATGTGTCAAAGGGTGTACAGCTGGCGACCAGTAGTGAGGATTCAAACTCCAGTTTAACTCTGGAGCCCAAGTGCTTTATACTACTTAGCTACATAGATGTTCTTTGCATTACATGCAAGTACGTACACACACACACACACACACATACACACGTGCGCGCGCGCGCATATATACATCCTAGGTTCCACATGCTGGCTGTGATTCAGTGACCTACTGAATAAATATCAAACACCTGGCCTATTCTATGTAGTAAATTGATCTTTGAATAAATGAATTTTCTTAGCACCTAATATTTATGCATTCAACAAAGGATTTATTGAGCACCAATGATGCATCATGAACTGCACCATTCACTGGGTTTATAGTGGCAAACAATGACCCTCCCTCTCGCAGATTTTATACTTTAGTTGGCGGTGGATAATCAATGAACAAGCAAAGGTGTACACTGTGTAGAGTCCGAGAGTGATAAGGGCCAAGATAATAAAATTAGGGTTGGAGATAGAGAGTACTAGAGGTCCGGTTTTAGTCTGAGTGGTCAGGGTAAGCCTCTTTTAGAAAGTAACATTTGTTCAAAGGCCTGAACAATGTGCAGGGAGAGCAATATAACCACAGACGTGCATGTTCAAAGCTCTGAGGGAGGAATATCCTTGGCATGTTTGAAGCATAGCGAGATCTGCATTACTAAGAGTGAGGAATGTGATCTCTTATCTTATAGGGAGTTTTCCCTGCACACACTCTATCCTTCCATAACATTATGACTATACTTAAAATGCTATGGACTTTGGATAGAAGGACTAAGTTCCAGTGTTCGATAGCACCGTTAACAATAATTTATTGCATATTTCTGAAGAGCTTGAAGAGAAGATTTGAAATGTTCCAAACACAAAGAAATAATAAATGTTGGAAGTGATGAATACCCTAAAGACCCTGATTTGATCACTGCACATAGTATGCACATATCAAAATACCACCAGGTACTCCATAAATATGTACAGTTATTATGTAGCAATAAAATGTTATTGCCTATGTAAAATAGTTTCACCTTTTGAGCCTTAGAGACTAGGTTTCCTTGTGACTTCCCGCATGGCAAATCACCAGAAGGACCCTGATTTGAGTAAATGGACAGGTTTGGTAATATTAGACAGTTTGATATATCAGTCATCTCTAATCTGCAACATTCTGATAGAAACCTTTCGAAAGCAGAAAAAGTAACAGTGACAGTCAAGAGGGAATATGGACTCTAAAACACTATGAATGCAATAAATAATCTGAAATGAAATTAAGACAAAATACCTTCAAAAAGAATAAAACGGGAATAAATTTAACAAAAGAAATGCAAAATGTATACTTTGAAAAATGCGAAACATTACTTAAAATAATTAAAGATGACCTAAATAAATGGAAAGACTTTCTGTGTTCATGGACCAGAAGACCTAAATTGTTAAGATGGCAATAATCCCCAAACTGATCTACAGATTCAGTGCAGTCCCTAGCATAACCTGGCTGGTTTCCTTGCAGAAACTGATAGACTGATTATAAATTGCATGGAAACTCAAGGATCCCAAATAGCCAAAATAATCTTGGAAAAGAACAAAGTAGGGGGATTCATACTTCCTGATTCCAAAGCTTACTACAAAGCAACAGTAAGGCAGTGTGGTACTAGCATAAGGATAGATATATAATTTATTTCTTTATAATTTTTAATTTTTGTGAATATATAGTAGGTACATATATTTATGGAGTAAATGAGATGTTTTTGATACAGGCATGCAGTGTAAAACAGGCACATCATGAAGAATGGGGTACCCACCTCCTCAAACATTTATCCATTGAATTGCAAACAATCCTATTACACTCTGTTATTTAAAAATATGCAGTTAGTATTGACTATAACCACCCTGCTGCACTATCAAGTAGTAGGTGTTATTCATTCTTTCTATTTTTTGTACGGATTAACCTGCCTACTCCCCCAGCTCCCCGGTACCCTCCCAGCCTCTGGTAACCATCCTTCTACTCTCTACGTCCATGAGTTAGGATAGACATAGAGATCAATGGATTAGAACTGAAGATTAAGAAATAGACCTTGACATTTATGGTCAATTGATTTTTGACAAGGATGCCAAAACAATTCAATGGAAACAACAGATGACATAGCATCCATGAGATAGCAGAGATACATAACACAGGACAGCATCATTGGGAAGTCCTAGAATAACATCTGCAAACCATTCTTAAAGAGCAACCAGTCCTGACTAGAACAGGAGGAGAGGTCTGTGGGAAAAATATCTCCAGAAAAACAGACAGATTATTTGGCATGTTCGCATATGTGGAAATACTATTTAGATGTGTTTGACAGATCCATTAGAGCATTTGGAAAAAAATAGTGACAGATATTGAAAAATGAAGCAAATTAGAAAAGGAAGAAGTTAATACTGTGGGGTGGGGGGAAAGTTCTATGAGAAAAGAAATAAAATGAAAGAGGACCATTTAGATCAGCAGTAAATAACATTTGTATAATACAAATACTAGTTTTTCTATTTAACTATAAAACACAATACAATGTAGTTATTGGGACAGTGGAAGATGAGGTGTACGTGATTGCCTGTCATAAAGAACTTCATAGATGGATGTTGTTTTAGTACATTTGTGTTGCTATGAAGGAATACCTGAGGCTGGATAATTCATAAAGAGGATTATTTGGGTTACAATTCTCCAGGTTGTACAGGAAGCACGGCACTGGCAACTGCATGTCAGGAGGACCTCAGACTGCTTCCACTCATGGTGGAAGTGAACAGGAATGGTTGTGTGCAGACATCATATGGTAAGAAGAGAGGAAGAGAGAGAGGGGAGGAGGTGGCAGGATCTTCTCAACAATCAGTTCTGGGGGGTGAAGAGAGACTAACAGAGTGAGAAATTAAGAAGGAGACAGTTGCACTGAGATGTTCATGAGGGATCCATCCCAATGACCCAAAGGTCTCCCATCAGACCCCACCTCCAACATTGGGAATCAAATTTCAACATGAGGTTTGGTGGGGACAAACAAACCATATCTAAACCACAGCAGATGTCTAAACTTATTAAATTACTAGATGCAATATAGTAATATTATTTTACAAGTAAGGATTTAAATACCAGAAAAAAACAGATAAAAGAGTTAAAAGTGGTTGCTTTAGGTAAGAAAGACTAGAAAGTGGGGAAACCAAAGGATCATTTAATAGCTCTGCTGGAATGTCTTCCCCACACCACCCAACCATCCTTTAAGACAATGCTCGGCCCTTCACAGACTTTCCTTCCTCCTCTAGTCGGAGACGTACGCTTTCCT